GTACTGGTCATTTTGGTGTGATGATCATTGGTGATAATGATGATAGATGATTTGGTGGCAAAAATTTTTTTAGAGGAGCATTATTTTTTTGTGCGTATTTATGATTGGTTTTAATTGTTTAATATCTCTTTCTTTTTTTTTTTTGTTGGTATCAAAGCATTTTCTATTCATATTGAATTGATGATCGTCTTTTTTTTTTCTTTTTATTATTTGTGTTTTTCTGTAGAGAATAGATCAATCTGCCTGAGTTGGACAAATTTTTATTTGTGCAATAGATGATTCAAATTGTTGGGTTTACTAACACCACTAACTGTTTGTTCATTATAAAGAGAAAAAAGAAAAAGGAATGGTGAAGAGTCGTGGGGAAAGAGCTGTCATTTTGGCTGTTTAGTTCCTAAAGTAAATTGGAAACTTTACCGTGATATTTGTCTATTCCATTTTGCTATACGAAACGGAATAAAAAGGATGAGGAAATTGTTGGTTGCTGATTGGAAAGAAATTTTTTGGGAAAGATTAGTTTTCCGATTTATCCACTATTTTATGAAACTGTTAATGTCTGAATTGGTGTGTTTGTAGACATACTGAAAAATTTTTTTGCTTAAAACTTATTCTACGTAGTCATTTTATTTGATTGTGCATCTATTAATTCGCAATTGTGTTGTAAGTTTTAAGTGCAAAAAAAAAAAAAAAAATTTCTTCTAATACTTTAACACTGAATTAGTGCCTTAGAGGCCTTCACTGGGAAATTATTGAATACAAAAATATGATGGAGGTGATGGAGAAGATGAGTGGAGTTGATGAACGAAAAGAGTATAGTGAGTAATGAAGTGGCTGTTAGAATACCGATTTTAAATTTGGAATTTTGATGACTAATTGTTTTGTTTTTGTTAAAGGGAAGGAGGAATTGGAAGAACCGAGGAAGGGTGTAAAAGAAAGTTTTGGGCAGTATTTTTGCTAGAAAATGTTTCTTTCTGTTCATTTTGTCAATTTGTTGTTTTACCGAAGTTAAAAAAAGTGCAGAGTGGGAAAGGAGAGGAAGAAAAAGAAATTTAAACGATTTAATCAGCAGCATAAATATTTTGCACATTTTTGAGACATTATAACAAATTTGCATCTGTTGAAGCATGACTCGTCCTCTTATAATTGTGCTCTTCACCGTTTTCACCTGCCCAGTTATATTTGCTGGCCATAAATGTGTCTGGGTTCATGGCTTTGTCAAATGTCAAAAGGATCCGGAAAAGCAACTGAATGTTGAGGTTCGTGTCTACGACAGAGACGGAATATCGGTAGCACAAGTTGTGGATCCTGATGATCTGATGGGGTAAGTGTTCGCGTTAACTGATAAAAAATTTTTTTGAAACATTAATGCGCTAAATCTACAGGACACTATTTTATTTGTATTTTTGAAGTAAGATTAAAATGTTTGAGCAATAATTTGACTACTTGGAATTTGGGTAGAAACCACAGTTGTAACGACTTCAAGTGGATATTTCAGATATTGTTTGATTTAGGTATACGATTAAAATTATTTTTAAATTTTTTTCTATTTTTTCTTCTATGAGGAATTAAAATTTTATTTTAATTGATTATTTAAGAGAAGAATTTTTTCAGTTATTTACTTTTGACACGGCAAAAGAAGTATGTAAATATAAGTATAAGTATAATTATATATTTACATATCAAAATTTTTTAAGGCACTTTAAAGGTATCGAATTGCTTTTGGTTTATTTCGGTTACAGGCGTTAACCATTGAAGTTCCAGTAGAAATTTTTTTTGTTTTTTTCTTGAAATTAGATCGGTTTCTAGTTTTTCCTAGTGTCTAGTTTTCCAGTTTATGAGCAACTAAGAGAAAATTCTATGATAGTATTTGTCGTATTTTTCTTTTATTGTTTCTTGACGAAAAGGACGCTCGGACTTTCAATAATAATTTCACCCGCACTACTGAGTCATATCTGTTGAGAGTTGTTGTTGTTAACTTTTGAAATACGGGTCTTTCTCGTTGCTTTCTTAGAAATATATTGTCATTTGGAATGTAATTCATTTGGTTACAGAATTTAGAAAGCAGTTAAATTTTCTCTCCAATTATATTTTCATTCTGTCCTTCATTATTTTTTACAACTTTTATGCAAAATTTTTTATTTTAATTATTTAAAACGGTTCGACGTTGAAGACGGATTGAAATAATGAACGAAAGCAAAGGCAAGGTGGAGGAAGGGAAATGAGAACGGGATAACAGCTGATAAATGCACCTGAGTTTTTCTAGATTTATGAATAAATTTAAATGATAGGTATGGATATTTTTTAAAAAAAAGTACTTTTTTGTTTTTAGCGTCACATTTACTGATGAAGATGGGATGTTTCAACTGGATGGTTGTGGCGATGATTTTGATTGGGTTCCCGGCATACCAAATGATCCGGAACCGTATGTTCAGATTTTGCATTACTGCAACAGTGAAAAAGGCGATATAATTACTCTGCCGGAGTTTCGTGTTTTTGTTCCGCAAACTTATGAACTTGGAATTATCGAATTGGATACTGCAACAAGTTCTGCACCGAATATTACAACTGATATGTTTTAATACGACTGACAGAGACTAAGTTTAATTGATTGGAATCGGACAATAAAGTCATAACTGACTTTCATTTAGTTGCTAATTTTATTAGTCGATAAAGCAGTTTGATTTTTTCACCTGATCTATTCTTAGGTATAACTGCTTAATCTGATTTTCAGATGAGATTTGTTAGTCTGTTATAGAAGCTGTGTTTATTGATGTCGTACGCTGACTTGGTCATTTAATCAACATTCATAATACTGATAGTAATAGTAGTGACAATAACACTGAGAGCGGTAATAATAACTTGAGTTTTTTTATCCTACTTACTTTTTTTTTTAAACAAGTAAGTAAGACATTTCGGAGCCTGTACAATGACTGCAATTAGCACAGAATTTTTAGGTGCTCTGTACCTTTTTAAAATATTTATTTCACTTTTTTTTTGCTTTACTTTTTAGTAATAATTACTATACAGCTGTTTATGAATGTATACTTTTACAAAAAAAAAGAATTTGATCTTCATATATTTTTGACAATTATAAGAATGATTTTATCTGAAAACTTTGATGATATTATCAATCAGTGCCTTTCGATGTTTAAAATGCGATAGTATTTGGGAATGCGTATGTGAATGTGTGTGTCTGTGTAAGTGTGTATATTGGAATGTGTGTGAGAAGTGGTGATGCATATTTATAGATCTGCTAAAGTCAGTATTATAAGTGTAACATGAAGTTCTAGTTTCTTCTCATTTCTGTGATAATTTTAATGGAAAAATAATTGGTTTTGTATCAGTTTCTTTGTTTTTTAAATATCATTAAAGAATCAAGAACTTCTTTTTTCACTTTTTTTTTCTGTTATCCTCAATACTATTGACTGTCTTCTGTGATCTTACTATTTGTCGAACTTATATGTGATAGTTAACTTGCAGTTCTGGTGTCTCAATTTGCTTTTACTGATTTGTTCTGTGTTCATTTCATGATCTGTATAAAATCTGTAAAATGTGAAACAGTGGAATTTTTGCTGATCACCTTTGGTTGTGCTAAAGTGTTGAAATAAAATTCAGCATTAAATATGTGGGAAAATAATTATGGAAAAGATTACAGAAATATTAACGTATCGGTTCAAAGCCACTGCAAATTGATGCTGTAAAATTTGTGAAATAAAAAGTGGTTGAAAGGAAAAAAAAAGTAACATTCCGATTGTTGCTAAACGAAGATTTGCAATTATTTAGCATTTTTTATAAATTTTTTTAGTCTAACAGTGATCGATTTTGTAAACAGTGTAGTCAGCGGATTTATCGTTGTTGTAACTTAACGTTCTTTTATGACCCAAATGTTTACCCGGGAAAAAAAAGGCGATCATCAACCCATATTGCCAAAGATTTTTAGAGGACGAGGAATATTTGGTTAATCAAGCACAGTGGTAATCTTGGAATATAATGGATAATCTAGATTTAAAACTTGTTTGTTGATAGCACAGTGTGATGACAAAGTTGTCACTTGGGCTGCAACAGCACCGCTCCTACAGACCGCCTTCTGATTTTGTCACACTGCTAACGTTACCAAAGCATTTTAATGCTAAAATAGTTCTATTGAAATTAAATTTACACGCAAAAAACATCAAAAATTAAAGTAATTTATCTCTAGTATTGGTAATTCTTTTTTGCAGTCAGAATCGACAAAATTGTTTTGTGGTTTACATCAATTAACAGAGAGATTGCTCTTTATAAATTAGTGGTTGACATTTTAGAGGTATTGGCCCCTTTGTAAAGCTAAAAAAAAACTTGAAAGAACTTTTAGCTTTTTTGTTGAAGTATTCTTGAATTTTTCAACTTATGCTTTAGACAGTTATGAGTAACATCGTATATCAACTGTAAATTTCAAGTTGTTTTGTAGTAAAAGGTTTATTAACGATTTTCACTTTCAGCTGTTTAAAACCGCTGTCATCTCAGTAATAAGCGTTTTGTTAATACCACAAAAAATTTATATTTTTTTCTTCATTATTTTTTTTTTTTGTTTGTTGATGCATACTTTTTAGAAGATTAAACTGACCATGAGTTTTTTTTTGTTTAGTTTATCTCTTATGTTTTCAACCTTTTTTTTTTTGGCTGATTAGCATAGCCAAAAAAGATGCCATAAAAATGGTCTGTTATGGAACAAACAGTTGAAGTATAAAGCAGATATTATAATCTTCTGAAATGTTCAAAATACAATAAAAAAGAACTCAATCAGGCGGAGAATGAGAGGTGAAGTATAAGTACTCAACAGATTTTCATATATTACATTAGAGGTAAAATCAAATAAATCAAACTGAATTTGGCGGATGGTAAGACCGGTAAAAGTTTCGATAAGTAGACGACGTTCAATTTTAAGCTATAAGTTTTGATTGGTACTGCCAAACACAAATAAACAACGCCAATAGATTACCACTTATCTTTGTTCTAAATTAATTGATACTTTTTGCACTCAGATAATTAAGCAGAACAGTAATGTACAGTAAAGTTTATAGTTTATTGTCAATAAATGCATTCTGTTTTATCTTTAATATTGTTTAACAAAAATTTAAATGCTTTTCTTATTAAATTTTTGATTAAACATTGTTAAATCAAACTTTTTTCTAAGGCTGACTAATAAATTGTAAAAAAGAAAAGACACAAAGAGCTACAAAAAGTTTCTGCTCTCAAGTGTATTCAGCAGAATATATCGTTAATTTGTTTTGCAAAAAATTGCTTAGCAATAATTTGTCCAGAAAAATTGCTCAAGAAAAATTTTTTTTCAATTTTCTATCGTACACTGATCTGTTGAATAAATTTAACAACAAATATAAAAGTGTCTCATTAATATACGATCAAAAATTGAAAAAACAAAGTGCAAATAAATTTGTCAAGACATTAAGGAATCAAAAAGTTCTGTCAACTGAAACAACAGTGACCAAAAATATGACCAGAAGAAAAAGTTGATGAGCTGTATAATTGCAGTTAACAAATAACCTTTAAACAGTAGAACTTTGTAACTTAATCTTAAATTAGTGTAAAAAAAAAAAAGAAGTGATTTTTTCTTTTTTTTTTTTTCTAACAGAATTTATCATTGTCAATTAATTTTATACAGTTTAAAAAGTGTCAGTGTCGTTGTCCTGTGATCATTTTGATAAGTTCTAAAGCTTTTTTTGGTCATAATTGTTTTTCCTTCTCTTCTTTTTTTTTTTCTTTTCAATTATCATTTTAAAATACTTGAACAAAAGAAAAAGTCACTAAACTTGTTGTAATGTTGGCATCACAAAAATATACGGTTTATTTGACGGAGTTCGGGGGGTTGGGGGATGGAGGGGACGGGGTACGGGATGCCAGTAAGGGAGCAGAACGACTGTATGGTTAGCGATTGTCCGATAATGTTCAACGGGTCTGTTTCCATTTTCCATCATTAGGTTTACAAAACTATTTTTAAAAAAGCAACTGAACGATGAAAAAACAAGAATTCTTCTTGGTTGTTTAGTTGCTTTTGGAACAACAACAAAACATTTATGTATATATAGTAAAAAGTTTATGTACATTACTTTATGGTACTTTACAAATGACCACTGTTATTCGTTGTTAACTATCGACTACAACATTTTAGTAACAACTTTAGTTACGCATTATTCATCTATTCATTTTTTTTGTTCAATTGAATTGGCAACTATTAAATATATAATTTTTGCTGTAAAAGAAAAATTTATTTATTCACTGTTT